GGCGAGATCCCCTGCCTCTCCAGAGCCGTCGCGCCTCGCCAAACTGCTTAGGTCCTCCTGCTTCGTGAACTCCCGAACAGGGAACTCCCCGAACCGTTCTCTGCGCGATCTCCACCTCTTCCCTCTGGCCGAGCTGCTCGAAAGGCCGAACTCTTGCTCCGAAATCCTCTGCTGGCAGCCCTGTCGCAAATTTTCGGCCCTCGCTCGCGGACTGTTTCTCCTCTGTCTCGCCGAAACGCACAACCTGCAGTGCGAATCTAGTCGATCAAAGCTTCCACTGCTCACTGAATCTGACGCAATTTGGTTGCCTGCTACGCGATCCGTTTGCTCCTCTGTTCGTGAATGCCGAACTCCTCTTCTTTGTCGCTGGCCGCGAACACCTTTACGCGGACACCTCTAGCAAAGAATTATGAATCTTCCCACAGACGGCGCCAATTGTTCTGAGATATGTACTTCCTGACATAGAGATGAGACGAAAAAGAATACAAGCAAACAGGAATCGTTTACGTGGTTCGATCCAACTAGATCTACGTCCACGGGAGGGAATCAATCAAATAGTTCACTAAGACAAAGAAATGAAGAATACATAGCATATACATAAAGATGAGCCCTCATCTTCCTTCTATGACCTCCCTCTCAAGCGACACCTTGATACAAGACCTCAAGATGCTCTCCTCCTTTCTAGCTCTCTAGCTATTCTTTCCTCCTTCGTGGTAGCTTAAGATCTCTTCTCTTGCTCTCCTAAGCTTCACACTCTTAAGATTTCTTCCCTTGCTCTCCTAAGTCACTCTTTCTATTTATAGAAGTAAGAGAGTGGTAGGTGGGAGGTAGGTGAGCGGTAGGTGAGCGGTAGGTGAAAGGTAGGTGAACGGTAGGTGAGATGTGGTAGGTGAGCGGTACCACATTACAAAAGTGTCATTTTACCTTAGTTCATTAATTTGGGGTCAAAATAACAGATCTCATATTTATAAGATTTTTGGGCGTTAAAAAAAGAGACTATATTTTGATTTAATAAATCAGTACAATCACCTATCCATCTTAGGCATATGAACATAGTAATCAAAATTTATGTGAATTATTGTCTTAGCCAGTGTTTTGAAGATATTGCTTATTGAAGAAACAGATTTTTCGCTATTGCTTGAGTGGTTTTTTTAACCCTTGGAAGATGCCTTTGAGTCGAACGGGTGCTCTTTGGATTAGCTAAATACTCTCTAAGTATGAGCCCTTTGAACCAGATGAGAGTCATTCGGGCTTGAGTGCTCTGAATTGGGCGAGAGTGCCTTTGGGTTTGGTTTCCTTGAATAAGGAGAGTGCCCTATGAGCTTGGCCTCTTTAAGCGAGCGGGTGCCCTAAGAGCTTGAACTCTTTGAATCGGGTAATTGCTCTTTTGGTTTAGGTGGATGATTTGAGAGTTCTATCTCTGGTTCCTAACTAGTTCATGTCACACCCTGATTCCGGAAGACGATACACCCCCGACAACCCAAGACATGATAAAATGAATCAAGCCTATTTTATATTCTTAGATAAAGATTTGCATATAAATAAAAAAATGTAAATTTTATTCATATTGAAGTCCACTTATATAACTGAAATTAAAACAACAAACTAGCTGAATCAAAATTGAAAAAACAATATAGAATAACTACATAAACCTTAAAAGGTGGCAAGAGAGGGTGAGAGGAAGAAAAGGAAAGGCGCGAGAGTTTCAATCTGGAAGGCAATAGAAACAACAGAAAATAGAAAAAAAGGAAAGTGAAAAGATTTGCGTGGATGGAAAAAGGTCAGATAAGTTTTTGATTCCTACATATTACCATCCTAAAAAAAATTTGGTCCCCAAATTAATACCTTAACCCTGAAATAACTGCGTGTACTTTGTGATCCAAGAAAGGAAAGGTGGCTAGGGAGGGTGAGAGGAAGAAAAGGAAAGGCACGGGAGTCTCAATCGGGAAGTCAACAGAATAAAAGGAAAGTGAAAAGATTTGCATGGGCATATCAAAAAAAAAAAAAAAGGAAAGGTGGCAGAGAGGGTGAGAGGAAGAAAAGGAAAGCTGCGGGAGTCTCAATGGGGAAGGCGACAAAAAAAAAGGAAAGTGAAAAGATTTGTGTGGATGGAAAAATGTCAAATGGGTTTTTGATTCTTACATATTACCATCCTAAAAAAAATTGGTCCCCAAATTAATACCTTAACTCTGAAATAACTGCGAGTACTTTTTGATCAAGAAAAGAAAGGTGACAAGAGAGGGTGAGAGGAAGAAAAGAAAAGGCGCTGAGTCCTAATCGAGAAGGCAACATAAAAAAAAGGCAAGTGAAAAGATTTGCGTGGGCGAATCAAGAAAAAAAAAGGGGGGGAGAGAGGCAGAAAGGGAAAGGCGCGGGAGTCCCAATCGCGAAGGCAACAGAAAAAAAGGAAAGTGAAAAGATTTGCGTGGATGGAAAAATGTTAGATAAGTTTTTGATTCTTACACATTACCATCCTAAAAAAATTTGGTCCCCAAATTAATACCTTAACTCTGAAATAATTGCGAGTACTTTGTGATCAAGAAAGGAAAGGTGGCAAGAGTGGGTGAGAGGAAGAAAAGGAAAGGCGCGGGAGTCCCAATCGCGAAGGCAACAGAAAAAAAGGAAAGTGAAAAGATTTGCGTGATGAAAAAGGTCAAGTAACTTTTTGATTTTTACATATTACCATCCAAAAAAAGATTTGGTCCCCAAATTCATACCTTAACTCTGAAACAACTGCGACTACTTTGTGATCATCTCTACTTCAATCTCCCAAGTTGCTTTTTGTTCCGCCTGGTTCTTCCAAAATACTCTAACAAAAGGAATTGATTTGCTATAAAGCTGTAGAACTTCACGTTCCAAGATGCAATTTGTTACTTCATAACTTAGGTCTCCTCGAATCACCAATGGCTTATACTGAATACTATGAGAGACATCATGCACATAAAGTTTAAGTAAAGAGACATGGAAGGCATTGTGTACTCCTACAAGTTTTGGAGGGAGAGCCAACCACTATGAAACTCTACTTTCTCGATCACCTTAAAATGACTAATGAAACGAGATTGAATTTTTCCAATCTGGCGAAATCATTTAACCCCATGCATGGGTGAGACCTTCAAAACAATGTGATCTTTGACAATGAAATCAAGCTCTCTGTGCTTTGGGTTGAAGTACTTCTGATGATTCTGAGGCACACGTCAATTTCGAATCTGATGAACCTTCTCAATAGCTTGATCCGCTAGTTAAGGTCCAAATATTCGTTTCTCACCAATGTCAAACCAACACAAGAAGGATTTAAACTTTTTGTTTTTGCCATAAAGTGTCCTGTATGACCCCATGTCAATACTAGCCTGAAAGCTATTGTTATAAGCAACTTTACCAATGGAATATAATCTTTCAAACTACCTCCAAAGTAATGCAAGCTCTTAACAAGTCTTCTAAGGTCTGAATGATGCATCCCGACTGTCCATCTGTTTGAGGATGAAAAGTAGTAGTGTAGTCCAATCTTGTGTCCATAGTTTTTGTTTTCATAGCATGGAGGTTAATCTTTCATCTCGATTTGATACAATGATGGTTGGAATTCCATGCAGTCGAATAATTTTTTATCTAAGTAGACCTTCGCTAATTTATCCATTGAACATGTCTGCTTGATTGGTATAAAATGAGCTAATTTAGTTTATCAACCACAACCCAAGTAGCATCATCTTCTTGCTTCCATCTCGACAAGCCAACTACGAAGTCCATGAACATCTCCTTCCATTTCCACTCTAAAATTTGAAGAGACTGCAACAAACCACCAAGTCTTTGATGTTTGGGTATAACTATTTGATAGGTCAAACACTTAGCTATGAACTCAACTACAACGGTTTTCATGCCCGACCACTAAAATAGCTTCTTAAAATTTTGATACATCTTAGTACTTTTCGGATGAACAAAAGATGGAGTAGAATGTGCTTGACAGAGTATCTCATGTTGAAGCCCTTCTTGATCCAGAACACATGACCGATCCTGAAATCTAGTCTAAGCTCCAAGTGTCATCTTGATCAATACTAAACTCGGGCTTTAATCAATTCGTTATTTGCTCCCTAAGCTATGGTAAGTCTGCATCCATCATCTCAGCTGCACAAACATGGTCCATAAGTGTAGGCTGAACTGACAATTGATACATACTATCTCATGTTGAAGTCGCTCCATCTCCCATGCTAACTCATGCTCCTGTGCGATCATGCACATTGCATACGTCAAAGATTTTCTGCTTAAAGCATCTGTGATCGCATTCACATTACCATGATGGTACTGAATCTCCAAAGCAAGTCCTTTATCAACTCGAGTCATCATATTTGTCTCAAGTTAAACTCTTTTTGGGTGAAAATGTACTTCAATCTCTTATGATGTGACGACCTCACAATGAATGTCATAAAGGTAGTGCCTTCAAATCTTTAGTGCAAAAATAACTTTAACTAACTCCAAGTCGTGGGTAGGATAATTCCTTTCATGCACCTTGAGTTGTCTAGAGAAATAAGCTACAACTTTTCCATGCTGCATTAGAACACATCCGTTTCCTTGATGTGAAGCATCACTGTAGATCTAAAATCCATCCGCATCAGAGGGAATTATGAGAATTGGGGCTATTATCAAGCAATTCTTTAGTTTCTGAAAATTTTGCTAAAAAAACATCAGATAATTCAGACTTAATGACCCATTTGAGTTAATCTTGATAGGGGTGTAGCAATTTGAGAAAAATTTTCAACAAATCTTAGATAATATCTAGATAATTTAAGGAAATTTTGAATCTCGGTAATAGTGCTTGGGGTCGACCCGTTATTGCCTTAATCTTTGTAGGATTCAAAAAAATTTCAGGCTTGCTAACAATGTGCCTCAAGAATGCCACTTCTAAAAAAAAAATTCACAATGTTTATTCTCGGGAAGAGTATTCAACGCAGCTTGAGATGTTGGGCATGGTTCTCTTTATTCTTGGAGTATACCAAATTATCATCAATTAAGACAAATAATAAATCAATCCAAGTAAAGCTTGAAAGTTCTATTCATCAAATCCATAAAGGCAGTAAGGGAATTAGTCAAACCAAATGCCAAAACTAGAAACTCATAGTGCTCATATCAAGATAAAAAAAAGTGTTCAAGGCACTTTTATGCTTGATCTACAACTGATGGTAACCATATTGGAGACTAATCTTGGAAAACAAAGAAAAACCTTGTAGTTGGCAAATCATCTACACGAGGCAATGAGTACTTGTTTTTCATTGTCACCTTATTGAACTCTCTGTAGTCGATGCAAAACTGCATATTTTCATCTTTCTTCTTCACGAACAAAATTGGTGCTCCCCAAGACTTGGTCGAATCAATCTTTAATCAAGCAATTCTTGCAACTAGATCTTGAGCTCTTGGAGTTCTACAGTGGGCGCTCAGTCACCCATTTTAATGATTTTGCATAGTTTTTTAGTCGGTTCAACCTATAATTCTTAGAAAAGCTTCGAAAATCTAGAGAGATGAAGGGGAGACACGAGAAGAATATATTGCAAATAATGAAAATGAACATAGTGAATACATTGAGGGGAATTGTGTGATTCTTTGAGAGTATATTTTATTTCTTCTACCATTCTGGTTAAGTGTGTACAAGTGTTTAATTGGAAGCGGGAGGAATGCTATGGAGCAAACGATGATCAATATGGTTGTTCTTAATTATGAGAAACTTTCTTTTTTGTTTGCAATGAAAGATTTTTTGTTTCCCTTTACAATGTGTAGTCACTAAATTGCGGTCTCTCTTGAATTAGGATCTAAGGAATTTAGATTTGATTCATGATTTTGTAAATTTTTCACTTTCAAGTGCAAGTTGATAAGTTAACATTGTGTGCTTCATTTACTTCTAAGCTGACCACTTAGAATATTAAAATGGGTTGTGACGTACTACTGAGGAAGTAAACTATTTGAACAATTAGGTTAACATACAATGTTTTAGGAGAATAAGAATTGCTGCTAGAATAGCACAATCATTTGGGGAAATATAGAAACATGGGAATTGTTGCATGATTACGAGTGTTTAATTTTAATATGAAATCCAAACACTTCTTATGAACTTGAAAGAGGCTAAGGAGTAGGGTTGTTCCTAATTGTCAAATGTTATAGAGTTAAATGGATTGATTTAAATTTCTTTGCTCTGGTTCAAGGGGGATGCTTTTATCAGTGTGACAACCTCTTCAAATTAGTGTCAAACTTTGAAAATTAGGACTATTCAATTTAAAAATTCATCAAAACTCAAACTTTCATGCTAAATTTAAGACTAATAATTTAGAATTTAGTCTGTTGTGGAAATTAACAAGTTCTCTGTGTGATCAATGCAATGACTCAATTTATTATTTGAGCAACATGTATACCACATGATTGATGTGTGCTTCACAGCATATCGGACACCATAAATCATCATGAAAAATAGGTTCACAGGATGCAAAAGAAGGCATTCAAAGCTTTGCTTGAATGAGAGAGTGTAAATGATAATTGTAAGGTAGGGGAGCGTGTGTGAGAACATAGAGAGCAAGTACCATCGATAGTCGAAAAAGATGGAAGTCCTTGTTCCTGTTTGTCAGCAAGGAACTCAATTCCAAACCCTAGCCACAAAATCACAAATAAGGACAATTAGTATCGATAGCCGAAAAAGAAAATCACATGGGATAGATTAAACAAAATTCTCAAATTAGTGGGTAGAAAATTATAAGGGATAAAAGATGAGGCCCAAATAAATCAAAAAATGAGGATAATTTTAAGGGAGGTTGAATATGTTCTTTTTTTCTCCTTAATATAAGTTTTGCTTAAACGAGCTTCCTTAATCTAAGTTTTGGCTTAACCGGGATCATGAAATTGAACAAATTGTATTTGGTTCAGAAATCAAAATTATGCTAACTTCGGCCAGTTAGTGAATAGTGAACCTAAACTAAATGGTCCCTTTTTTCATTCCTCCTTTTATTTTTCCGTGTAATTTTGCAGAAGGGAGAGAGAATACAAGGTAGAAATAAAATTTGTTGCAAGGGCAAGTATGTACCATCTACAGCAATTTCTAGTTGGCAAATGTGCAGAGGCACCACAGGAGGCTTTTCACATTCTTGACATCGTTTTAAGAGAACTCTCAAACAGAAGGTTTGTGTCCTAAACTACGTTCTTTTTTTCTTTTTTTATTTGTTGATCTAATTGGATTATTTTTTAAGTTCTAAAATCAGTTTCCTGTCTAAATTTTTCTTGTTAAGGTACTTCCCTGTGGGGAAATCCTTCTTTTCTCCAGATATTAGGAGTCCACAACGGCTTGGCGACGGCCTCGAATCATGGCGTGGATTTTACCAGAGTATAAGACCTACACAAATGGGCTTATCCCTTAATATAGGTACATAGGATTGTATAAAATCTATTAAATTTGGATATACTGTTAGATTAGTTCTTTAACATTTAGTAGATTATCTGTTGTTTTTCCAGATATGTCTTCTGCTGCATTTATTGAGCCTCTTCCAGTGATTGAGTTTGTTGCTCAGCTTCTTGGGAAAGATTTCTTATCAAGGCCTCTCACTGATGCAGATCATGTAAAGGTATAATTGTACCATTTGATCATTATGGAAGCCTTTGTGATCTCTTGCCTTAGAATTTTTATAAAAAAATATTTCAGGTTAAAAAGGCCCTCAGAGGAGTGAAGGTTGAAGTGACGCACAGAGGAAATGTTCGACGGAAGTATAGGATTTCCGGATTGACCACTCAACCAACAAGAGAGCTTATGTAAGATAAATGGTTAGATATTTTTAGGAAATTTTTATAATTTCCTTAGTTTTTCATTTTTTAAAGTGTTATGATATATTTGTAGTACTATATGCTGTCCCACTCGCAATGGCCAAAGTTGAAGGAACACAGGAAAAATTATATGGTATTGAAAAATAGATAAAAGGCCAACTCTAGAGCAACTCTAGAGCCTTAAATGAGTTCCATATTCTAAAGTAGTTGTAACGTTCTGCTCCATGTTAATATGAAGTACAGCATAAGAAGTAATGTAATGTGCATCATCAGAAAATGAGGCTGATTTTGATAACTTTACTGTCAGAATTGGGCGATTGTAGATTTGATGTTGTTGATCGTAATTAGGATTTATTTGATCGTAATTAGCATTTCATTCTCTAATTAAACATTTACCTGTAAAGTTAGTGTGGAAAATGTTTCCATGCTTCAATTCAATTACATATTTTGTCACTTTTGTAGGTTTCCCATTGATGACCAGTCAATGAAATCTGTTGTGGAGTACTTTCTGGAGGTGTATGGATTCACCATACAACACACTCATCTTCCTTGTCTTCAAGTTGGGAACCAAAAAAAAGTAAACTATTTGCCCTTGGAGGTATTGGACAAACTCTAATGGCTCGCTGAGATACATATATTAACTTGGAGAAAAGTGTCAAAATGGTCATCTGACTCTTTACAAGGGAGCATATTTGTCCCAGAGTTTATAAAAATGTTAATTTAGTCACCGGATTCTTTTAATCAGTTGAAAAAGTCCACAATGATGACTATTTTAGGCCCCTTTAAAACAATATGGGGACTAATTTAACACTTCTATAAACTCTGAAGCTAAAATGATCCAATGTAAAAAAAACAGGGGACTATTGGCACTTCTATATTTATGAGTGTGTGAATGTTCTCTAATATTGTTTTAAAGGCATGCAAGATTTTGAGCGGTCAACGCTATACCAAAAGATTAAATGAAAAGCAAATCACTGCTTTGCTAAAAGTTACCTGCCAAAGACCGCGGGACCGCGAGAATGATATTATGCAGGTATTTGTTTTATAAATTCATGTCATATTTATCTAATATTTAGACATACTGCCCACTTTTGAGCAAAATGTGATATGTATTTTATCTAACATGTTTTTCTAATTATAGTATTTCATTTGATAACTAACAACAAACATGCAAAATGTGATACGTATTTTATGCTAACATCATTTTCTATTCATGTCATATTTATCTAATATTTAGACATATTGTCCACTTTTGAGCAAATTGTGATACGTATTTTATGCTATCATGCTTATCTAATTATAGTATTTCATTTGATAACTAACAACAAACATGCAGACAGTTCAACATAATGCCTATAATCAAGACCCATATGCAAAGGAATTTGGCATAAAAATCAGTGAAAAGCTTGCTTCTATTGAGGCGCGAATCCTTCCTGCTCCTTGGGTACTACGTTGTCCTTCTATTTCATTACTTTAGGGGGCATGTACTTACATACCACGCACTTCTTATGTATTTACATATCTAACATCTGTATTTTTTTTTTCACATTTATACCACATAAATCTTTCATATCACATCAAAAATACCAGCATTTTAACTTTTGAAAAGTGAAATACAACTTTTCATGCATAGATAAGGTAGCATGTACGTAAAAATTTAAGTTTTGGTGTTAGATATGTAAATGTTTAGGAATTGAGTGGTATATATCTAAATCTTCCCTTATTTATGCCATCTCACATGTGATCAACTGAGTCTTTTAAAAAAATACATTTAGCTGAAATATCATGATGCTGGCAAGGAGAAAGACTGTTTACCTCATGTTGGTCAGTGGAACATGATGAACAAGGTGATATAGCTACTTACCGTTGAAATTTTTGCCTTGATAAATAGTTTGATCAGAAGTTAAATTTCATGATTTCTAACTATTCTGAACTTTGGAACTTGATTTGAAAAGAAAATGGTAAATGGAAGCAAAGTAAGTAAATGGGCATGCATTAACTTCTCACGAAGCGTCCAAGAGGCCGTTGCGCGAGGATTTTGCAATGAGCTCGGAAAAATGTGTCAAATTTCAGGCATGGTAAATACTTTTCACTGGCATTTCTAAGATGATTCATATTTAGTTTTCCTCTCAACTTATTTTGACCATCTTCTGCAGGAATTTTCTGCCGAGCCTGTAATACCGGTCTACACTGCAAGGCCCGAACAAGTTGAGAAGGCTTTGAAGTATGTCTGTAATGCATCAGCTTCAAAGGGAAAGGAATTAGAGCTGCTAGTAGCTATTTTACCTGACAATAATGGTTCTTTGTATGGTATGGACAAAGATGTTTCTCAATTATGGTAACATGTTAAAGGTTGGTTGTATTTTATGTTTTTTCTAACGACGTGATTAACTCTAGGCGATCTGAAGAGGATATGCGAGACTGAACTGGGGTTAATATCGCAATGCTGTCTTACGAAGCATGTATTCAAGATTAGCAAGCAATATCTGGCAAATGTTGCATTGAAAATTAATGTCAAGGTGAGCTTAATATGGATGTTTCACAGCATTTTCTATTATTCTGATAAACATTTATTCTTCTTTTGTTTATTTTTTTACTAACTCAGAACAACTTGACCTTCAACAACAATTTATTCTTGAAAATCCTGTTTTATTATGTATAGAATTTCTTTGTAAATCATTTTTTAAGTGGAAAATGAATCCATTGTGTGCAGATGGGAGGGAGAAATACTGTTCTTATGGATGCAATAAGCTGGAGAATACCTTTAGTTAGTGATATACCGACGATAATATTTGGAGCAGATGTGACTCACCCAGAGAACGGAGAGGATTCCAGTCCTTCGATAGCAGCTGTAATTTCTTTTTTTTATGTTGTTTATTTAATCTGGAATATATGGATCAATGAAGAGAGGATTTTTTTGCTGTTGTAGGTAGTTGCTTCTCAAGATTGGCCTGAAATTACAAAGTATGCGGGCCTGGTTAGTGCTCAGGCTCATAGACAGGAGCTTATACAAGACTTGTATAATACGTGGAATGATCCAGTTAGAGGCACTGTTAGCGGAGGAATGATTCGGTACTAAGTAACGTTTGCTGGAGTTCGAGTGTTATAAAATATTTCCAGGAGTTTCATAGACCATTTGAAGTCATAGTGCCACGGAATATATTGAGATTTAAATGTTTATCTCTGGCATCAAGAATGAGAATTTGGATAATAACAACCATGGTCTTATGTATATATATATATATATATATATATTTCGATTCAACATCATTTTACTTAATAAACATGAAATGAGACTGCTGTGTTGTGCGTTAACTGATTATGGTTCACACACTGTAGGGAACTGTTGATATCCTTTAGAAAAGCTACTGGACAAAAGCCCTTGAGGATCATATTCTACAGGTCAGTATGCATTTTTGGCAAATTTAGTTGTTTAAGTAGGTAAAGCTTGAATGCTTAATCTATTTGAATAAAACTCCTTTCTTATGGTGGATTTAGTTTACTTCATTTTATTTTATTTTGGTGAATTAAAAATTCATGAATTGAAGTGGAGGAGATTTTTTTTTCTTTTTTTCGTTTTGAATTTCATGTTGTTGCCGACAGTAATTAAATATCGACTTGAAGGATCTTGTCCCTGCTAGATTTGAGACGAGCTTTATGCAAATATGCATAATATGGAAGTTTTATACTTTAAATTCTCCTGCATATGACTGTAGTTTTGCATTATACACAATTAGTTCAATAAAACTTGAATAAAACAACAGTTTTGGATGCCGCGTAGCGTGCAATAACCCATTTCAATCAAAGAATGATATTTATTATGCTATCAAATTAGGATATGTGGGCAACAATTTGTCCACAAGCAGCTTGCATAAACTCAACTCAGATAATTACATGCAACAACAACAGCAACAAAAAGCCTTTATCCCACTAAATGGGGTCTACTACAGGACGCGGGGCTCCGACCAGTCCTCAAGGAAGGGGGGCTGCTGCCCCCTCCTTGGTCTTCCCTCCTTTCCTTTTTCCCTCCTTTACCTTTTACTCCTTTCCTTCTTTCTTATTTTCCTTCCTAGCATTTTTCTATTTTAAAGCCGTTCCTAAAATCAAAATCTGACTTTTATTATCACTTTTTATTTTAAAATCCTTTCTTATTTTAAATCCTTTTCTATTTTAAATCCTTTCTAAAATTTGAATTCATGATTATATTTTATTCTTTTTTCTTTTTTTAAATCCTTTCTCATTTTAATTCATTTCCCTATCATTTCCTATTTTAAATTCTTTCCTAAAATCTTAAAACATGATTATATGTTATTCTCCTTCCTTATTTTCATTACCTTAAATAAGTCTAGACTCTTTATAAATATGGGATGATATGCTTAGAGTTGGGGTCTTATTTTTATTATATGAATTCAAGTTTTATCCTAGAGCTTTTTTCTTTCGTGGGCTGTATCCAACCTCGAGGAAGTGCTCCGGTAGTATCTCGACCCCGCCGAGATATTTATCAGTCTGTCCGTCTTCCATGCACCCCTGCAAGTCACTATCCAGCCCCCTTCCTGCATCTAGGTCGTTGTCCTCTATTTTCCTTCTGCTACCAACCCACCTCCCAATCCTACAGCAGGCCGCCACCACTCCTGCCCTATGCCCAGCAACTACCGGCTGTTTCCCAGCCCGCCAAATCACCTCTAGCTCCTCCCTGCACCCCTGCAGGCCTCTGTCCAACCCCCTGCATCTAGCAGGCCGTTGTCCCTGCTGCTACGAGCCCACCTCCCAACCCTACAGCAGGTCGCCTCCACTCTTACCCTCTGCTCAGCAACCGTCGGCTGCTTCCCAGCCCGCCAAATCGCGTCCCACTCCTCCCGACACCCCTGCAGACCGCTGTCCAAACCCCTTCTGCAGCCAGCAGGCCACTGTCCTCTATTCTCCTGCCGTCCCAGCTGCTGTTCAGCTACTCCCAGCTGCTGTCCCACCTTCCAACCAACCTCCATTGCCCTTGAGATTCACTCTCGAGGTGTTTGTTTGGGTCGTTTTGTGTTTTGGTGATGTATTTCCAGTTTATGTGTCTCGTAACCCTTTTTTCATATTAATAAAAGTTCCTTTTGTAGTCTGGGCTTTCTCGTCGGATATCACTACATAAATCTTTTTTTTCCATTGCATTCTATTGGGTGTCATATTTTTTATTTAATACTAACAAATGAAGATTATTTTTTATACAATATGCCCAAGTCTTTATAGGTCTACCTCTGCCTTTATTAAACATTAGTCGAATCTAAAACATCTACTCTCCTTACCGGATCCTCAGATGATCAACGTTTAATGTGACCAAACCATTTAAGACCATTCTCTATAATTTTGTCCCCTACTGGAGCTACACCAACCCTACCATGGATATATTCATTTTGCATTTTGTCTCTAAGTATCAAAGTCACTCATCCACCCAAGCATTCTCTTCTCGACAACACTTATTTTGTTTTATGCTTCTCTTTTAAAGGCCAGCATTCTGAGCCATAGAGCATTGTAGATACTTAACATGGATCAGATAAATAGATTTCAACAAAAAGGAATATGTAAAATAAACTGAAACGGTGTTCTTAATGGTGAAATTCTAAAGTTTTCATGTCATGAAAATGTTATATGGTAATATTTGGATATATATAACCAACAATTATGATCTATTTGGCCAGGGATGGTGTGAGTGAAGGACAATTTTACCAAGTTCTTCTCTATGAATTGGATGCAATCCGAAAAGTTAGTCATTCTTCCTAAGAGAACATTTCACATTTATTCCAACCTAAATTATAAAACTAATCGGTAATAGAAAGTAAAATGGAGGTAAAACTTTTAAAAAATAAATCGTACTTTCTTCTGCACAGGCCTGTGCTTCGCTTGAACCAAACTACCAGCCACCAGTCACTTTTGTAGTAGTTCAGAAGCGGCATCACACCCGACTCTTTGCCAGCAACCACAAGGATCGGTCTGCTACGGACAGGAATGGAAACATTTTACCTGGTAAGGGGGCATTTGCATACATCCACCCAATTCCTATGTATCTATATTACATAACACCTGAAATCTTCTTTTTACCACGGGAAAAAAAAAAGAAAAAAAACAAAAGAAAAAAAAACGAAAAAGAAACCCGTCACGAACTCTACTTTTTACATTTATATGACCCAAATCTTTCATATCACATAAAAATACTACTATAACTTTTGAAATGTAAAGATTGAAGTTTAGGTGTTAGATTGTGAATACATAAGAATTAAGTGGTATGTATGTGAACATTCCTATTATTTTCACTAATGTTCCATTCACATTCAATTTTACTAGGCGATGTTGTTATATCTTGTTTTGCAGGCACAGTAGTTGACTCTACTATTTGTCATCCAACAGAGTTTGACTTCTATCTATGCAGCCATGCTGGTATTCAGGTGAGCTTAAATAACATTTCAATCTAAGCCAAGCACATTATGTCAATGAAAGCATATGATCTCTTATTTTCTTGTGAGAGAAGTATTTTAGCCTCTAGTGCTCTAGATGAAGCATGTAAATGGACTTTCCTTGTTCTAATAATTTCCATTCCATGTATAATCAGTATTTTTGAGTTTAATGTGACTTGCTATGAATCAGGGAACAAGCAGACCTGCTCACTACCATGTTCTATGGGATGAGAACAATTTCACTGCAGATGGCTTGCAGTCCCTCACCAACAATCTTTGCTACACGTAAGTAAAGTGGAAATTAAAACAAAAATAAAAACACAATTTTTGTCCCCCTAATAAGAAGGGAAATACTGTGTTTATATTGGAGAAAATGAAATCAATTCTAAACAATTTGTGGCTTGATTATAAATCTACAGCTATTGATTGATTTCATTAATTTCCTTTTGCTCATTCTAGCGTCCAGACATAGGCTAGATAAACAATTAAGATATATATTAAAAAAAAGATCCAATTTCAATGATTCATAACCAGATCAAACTTGAACTTGCAGTTATGCGAGGTGCACGCGATCAGTCTCTGTTGGTAAGATTTCCTTCTCAAACTCAATTTTTTTGTTAAGTAGTCATGTTGGGTTCTACAAAATATACAGATGAAATGGATTTTACTACTTTCTCATTTATCATGTATTTATCAGTGCCTCCAGTATACTATGCACACTTAGCAGCCTTTAGAGCTCGTTTCTATGTTGAACCAAACACACAAGAGAATGGGTCATGCGGCACAGCAAGGAATAACTGTGAAGTAGGAGAGTTTAGGCCATTGCCTGCTCTCAAGGAGAACGTGAAGAGAGTAATGTTCTACTGTTAGATTTTTATTTGTGGTAGATTTATGTATATCAAGGTAGCTTGATTACACTTGTAATTCTCTTTTACTCCACTTTTATCAATGAATGGACTTTTGGCATTGATTTTAGCCTACTTATTGCTTAATCTCTTCGAATTAAGTTGATAAAAAACTAATATGTGCTTGTTTATGTGAACCTTACCATACTAAAGTTCTTATGATCAATGATGATGACAATAATTTGGATATGTAATACTGTAGTTCAACAGTCCCTTACATAAAATTTCTTGATAACTAATTTGCAAGAGTTATGAAGCCCATTTTTTTTATAACATTTGAAACTTAATCAATTTTAAATCTAACGATCAATTAGCTACATTTTGAAAATGAAAAACTAAAACTCAAAGAGCATGCTTTTCTTTTGTTATATTTTCAACGAGTTTAAAACGGTTCCCAAATACATAGGTTTGGTGATTCATTTTTTGGAACTAAATGACCATACAGAAAGTTAAAATTCAGATTATAATGATCTTTTGGAAGATTTACATACATACAACTCAATTCTTATGTAATTACATATCTAACACCTGAACTTTAATTAATTAATTATATATATATGCTACCCTATGTATTTATGAAAAAAGTTTCACTTTTAAATGTCAAAGCTGAGAGATTTGGATGTTATAAATATAAAAAACAAAATTTAGGTGTTAGATATATAAACACATAAGAAAAAGCTTGGCATGCATGAAAAAGCCTCTTCTTGTTTTAAATAACGATAAAATTTGAGTACAAAAGTATGATATGAATGTTACTGAGCTCATGATTTACATATTTTATGCAAATATCATAATTTCTTACATTAACGAAGGAAACGAGCTCCTAATTTAACTTAAAAATACTAGTGTATGACAAAAAATTGCCTCTCCATAAGAAAAGATCCTTATTAATACGAAAATATGTCGGAGATATGAAGCGGTGCCAATGAAAATAACTCCGAGAGGCAAGTTTGTACTTTTATATTTGCCCTCGTATAATCTATAAATAGGACGATCTTTTAGGTATAAGTAGACCTATGCCATTTTTGGCTCTCCCATTCTCTTGTAAACAATCTTTTAATATATGAAATGGGTCGGAGAGCGCGGGGAACACCCCACTTTGGCTTGCTGGGGGCAGTTGCGGCGTCACCTTTTCTTTCTCTCTCTATATATCCGTTTTCATGTTCTACATCTTGGGCATGTACCATAAAACAATTATGAACTCATGTACCATAAAACAATTATGAACTCAACATATGGCGACAAATTATTAAATCTAGGCGGTCGAAACGACTCACGTGCATCTTTTACCGGTCGACTTGCGTCCAAATCTCACCAGCAGAAAGTTTCCGGCCAACCCAAAATTCTAGGCGATCGAAATGGTCCATCGATCAAGTTCCAGACGATAGGAAATCTTCCTAACCGACCAAAATCAAAGCCGTCGCTACGATTCCCGCTTCCCTATGGGGGCAATCGTCGTGTCAAAAGTTTCGCAGGTCGTTGAAAATCCCAACAGGTAGCAACAAATCTAACCGGCCAAAATCTGCATTTCGCTGGCCGAAACATTTTGTTTGGTGAAAATAATCCCACCGTCCAACTTATATGGCGACTGACACTTCCTAAAGATAGAAAAAATTCCGGCGACCAAAATTTCTAGCAGTCGACACTTCCAGACAACCAAATAATTCCGACGATAAAATTTTTGGCGACCAACAATTCTGAATGACCGAAAAATTCTAGCAACCGACAATTCCAAACGACCAAAAAATTATGGCTACCGACAATTCCAGATGACCGAAATATCTGATAATTTTATTTTATTTTTCTCTAAAATATATATGTCTACTCTTCTAATTATGTTTTCCTAGCTAAGCTTAAAACAGGGGGCACGCGAAGAGTTCACATGCAATACTCGAAGAACTAGAATATGAGGGACAATACGACACAAAAACAAATAAACGACTCACATCAGGGGCGAGCAAACCATTCACCCTTAACCCCAAGCATAAAAAACCATGTCTCTAAACTCTAAACGGGTAAAAGCGCTAGAGGTGGTTCCCTGTTCAGTAGCGACAAACTGCGAAAAATACGACACAAATCACCCCAACAACAAGTCTTGTCGGTCCCAATCGCAAAGACAACAACAAGATTCGCCTAAAATATGAGAAAAAGTGATACCCGACCGAAGGGAAGAACCAACTGAGCAAACAAAACACGGGCTTTGTAAGAATTTAGCCAAGCGGTCAGCGAACTATAATACATCAAAAACAACTAAAGGTCTTTTCAAAGATCTAAGTCGTCAACCAACTCAAAACGTCCAACTGTCGCAATCAAATTATGCAGTAACAGTAAGATACAAGGAAAAAAAAAAGATAAAAGCTTTTCCAGAGCTTTTATCTATTTTTTAAATAAATCACTAACACTTCTTTTCGAGTATTAACTAAGTGCCAAATTAAAAATCAGTCTGAAAAGACCTCAGTAAACCACTTTGGGAGTGGAGAAAGAGATGCCAAAATCAAGGGAGTATAATTGGTGTATTACTATGATTGCAATTTTTTGTATATTTAAAGTCTCTTATTCTTATCACAATTTCACTTCCAAGAAGCAAGAGACTTGGGGGGTATCTGTGTATAACCAAAAAGGGCCTCTGAAAATGAAAATGTGTTTAGTAGTACAAAAATGTGTGAGAGAGATGAAGAGGTGTCAACGAAAATAACCCTGAGGGGCAAGCTTACACTTTTATATTTGTCCTCATATAATCTTTTATGTATAAGGGGACTCATGCTATTTTGGCCTCTCACCTTTTCCTATAAACAATTTTTAATATATGAAATAGGTCTGAGTGCCTAAAGAACAACCCTACTTAACCCTGCCGGGAGAACGGTGACCTTCTCTCTCGCTCTCTCTCTCTCTCTCTTTCTCTCTCTCGCGGTTCTCACGCTCTCTGCCTTGAGCATGTACCGAAGAATAATTCTGAATTCAACAAGTAGATTAATTAAGAGATAATAACCACTCTTAAAGCTCATTCTATAAAACCTCCACAAGTTCGCTAATGTTTGATGCATCAAACAGAAAAAAAAAAAACCCTTATTATCAGATTGCCACTAACTATACAGCATTTGAGATTGAGTAAATTATCATCTTCTCATCTAATGCGCATGCCATTTTCCGATTCCAAATCAGGCTGTAGAACTCCGTATATACTAAAAAATGTTTTGGTACTTGAACTCACTGCATATTAGTTGCAGAATTTCGGCCCGAACAAGAAAAAATTGAAAATAAAGTTAGGTTTTACATTGAGGAGTTGCAGGATTGATGGGAATTACCTTGGACTGCACTTCAGGAGGAGAGGAGGTCCCATGCTTTCCCGTCCCCTGGAATCCTTGCCCTCGCGAGAGAGAAATAGAGAATCGATGGGACATCTAGCTTCTAATTCTAACGATCTCGTAAAGGGTGAAAGATAAAAGTAGAATTTATAATTTCTTAATTTGACGCAGTTTTTTTTGTTAATAAAATATGAGCCCATAATATCCATTTATGTATATATTCATAATTTAACTAATATACATTATTTTTTTTCTTAAAAATAATGAGTACGAAAAATTAATAAATAACAATTATTTAATAACATTTTTGTTTGTTCCAACATGAAACCATATTCTCTTATAGATACATGTATACTTTGACGATGTTTGACTGCAACTATAGAATTACGTTAAATATGATTTATTAAATCTGCGATCGCCAAATCTCATGATGGAGGCGACGAGACGTAGCAGGCGAGCAACCACTAACTATAGAGAAGATATCTCTTAGAAAAGTAAATTACCATCTTTTTCTTATGATATGATATAATCACATTTAGTTATCTCTTTCTCGCCCGTTCTGTCTCCTATTGTGATGTAAATCTAGATTTATCATATTATATAACTATATTATCATTATTCATCCCTTGAAAAGTACACTCCTTAACTTCTTCTTTAAGAGCACATTAATTATAATCTTTTACTGAAGTGAAAGAGCTAACATTTTCTTTTAATTATAAAAAAATTTAGGGATGCTTGTGAACTCAATATCATGGCTTAGAACTCACATAAATGTAGTCATTACACCTAAAATTTTATTATAATTGGTATGTTATCTCTTTATCAACAAGATAACAATTGGAAATCCAAATAATAACAATCTCTTTTGCAAATAGAAGAATTGTGAAGGACTTTATGATATAGTGAATAATCATCTTAGACAAGGGGAAAGCCATAGAGATAAATAAAATGGAATTTTGGTTAATACATGTTAAATTAAATTAAGCTAACTCCCAAAGATAGAAAAATCATGCTTTTACCCATTCATATTTATAATTTTCTTAATGATATCAATAAATATTGTCAAATTTTTTATGAAATTTATAAAGGGGGGCATACAAATAATATATGCAATATTTCATGTTGAAACTTAATGGCATGCCATATGAATTTTTTTTTTTTAGAAATGAACTTGTAGTGGACAATTGAAGTAGACCTTTTTCACATTAATATGTAGATTAAAGCAAACCTCAAGGGAGAACATTATTTTTCAAAGAGCTATGACAACAAATAAAATGATGTTAACAATCATATATTACCATAAATTTCACATGATTTCACACAAAACAAGATGCATTTTAAATGATAGCCTTAAGAGTGAAATTGAAGATAATGGTGCTATGAATTTAATAAATCTATAGTCAATTTGAACTTTTTTAACTTTAAAATACAAAGGCAACAACATCAAAAGTGATTTTATTCGTGTTCAAATAAGCTCAAATAAAGCACTTGAATTGTTATTAAAACCTTCAAAATATTAATTGAAAGGTCAAATGACATAAATTAGGCATGCTTATAGTCAAATTGAGCGGCTCAACGATATGTATCTAACAAGCCCGTGATCATTTAATTTTTAGGTTGTTAAGATACTTATGTTTAAAAAAATCAAAACATATTGTTGGAATATTTTAAGATTTAGACTACAATTATTTAAATTTTATTCTAAGAAAATTATAAATAGACATTCATCTTCAAAAAAATAAGGAAAAGAAAGTTGAGAGCTAAGCTTGCATTTTAAAAGAAAGCTCGAAGCAAGGGACTACAAGTGATCGTCGTCAATCACCACTAGTAGTTATTGCAACCCAACTCTTATTTCCATGTTTTTATTGTCTAATCATTACAAATAATAACTTTTGGTATTTATAAATTAACTGTTATTGTAATAATAGAATGCCTAGCAAGTGCTCATATTTTTGTAATGACGCCATATTCTCTAGTTATAGAGAGGAGTGTAACTCTGTAATTTTAAATGCAATATAGATTATTTTGCATTGTCCATGCTCCCTTGTGTTTTCCCTTTCTAGTTTATCCATATAAAAATTATGTTCTCCCTTACGCCTTATGTTTTATGTATGTTTGATCTGCTAAAAAGCAAGCCAAAAATTCACTACGTCACAAGCACATACAATGGAAATGTTGAAGCAAATAATAAAATAGAGCAGCACAAAGTCTTACATGGAAAACCCAACCCTAAAAATGTAAAAACCATGGGACCAGTAGGCCACTTAAACATCTCCACTAATCAACATAATGGGTTACAAAGTTCTTCTTTAGGACACTACTAGAGGAAATCAAACATCAACCAACACCAAATAGGTGTTAAACACATAAGAAGGTTTGGTAATCTCGATATTCTTCACGCCTACTGCCCTCTGATCCTTCAATTCACCGCCCACGGTGTTGTGTGTTTCTGAGACTTTTCCATTAAGGAGTGAGAATGAAAGGATCGCCCAATTTCCACAGTGCTTAGAAGCCTTGTGAATGGATCACATAGTCTTTTCTATTTTTCACACCTCTTGGTTTAAAAATGAATCATGCCTTTATGTTTTTTATTATTAAGAATAGTGGAAAACCAACTTTATTTTTTCAATGACAAGGCAAAAGACATCATGTGGGGGGGACCCACAACAACCCCCCCCCCTCCTGATAATGTGAAGAAAATGCTTCCCATACATGTAATTACTATTAGCTTCAATTCTCTTTCGGTAATGTTTTTGTCATCATATCAGATCAATTTTCATCAGTACAGATCTTCTCGAGTTATAACACATCACAAATCCAATGATATCTCACATCAATATGCTTCAAACGTGAGTGGAATGTGGAATTCTTACTGAGATGAATTGCACTCTGACCATCACAGTATAGGACAAACTTATCTTGTTCATGACCCAATTCTTGTTGGAAATTCTTTATCCACGAGACTTATTTGTAAGATTATGTTACTGCAATATGCACAACCTCAGTAGTTGATAAAATCACACACTTTTGTGGTTTAGATTGCCATGAAAAGGCCGCGCTACAAATGTAACCAAGTATCCTGAGTGGACTTCCTTGAGTCCGCATCACGAGTAATATCTGCATATATGTAACCATCCAAAATAGGATTGTTATTTCCAAAACATAAACAGATTTTGGATGAATCTCTGAGATACCTGAAAATGTACCTAACTGTTGTCCAATGCTATTTTTCTAGATTGAAAAGAAATCAACTAACATTGCCAACTACATGACCAGTATTTGGTCGTACATATCATAGTGTACATCAAGCTGCTTATAACGGATTCATAAGGCAAATTCTTCATTTCTTTCTTTTTGTTCTCACTTGTAGGTCATTGTTTAGTGCTATGTTTAAAATGACCCACATGTGGAGAAACAACTTCCTTTACACTACTCATTGTTTCTTTCAAGAACTTTCTCTATGTATCTCTCCTGAGATAACCATAGCTTATTCTTATTCCTGTCATGAAAAATCTTCATCCCAAGTATTTGTTTTGTTGGACCCAAATCTTTCATAACAAAAGATTTGTTGAGTTCTCTCTTGAGCTCCTCAATCTTAGTCACATTATTACCAACGATTAACATATCATCGACATATAGTAAGAGAATCACAAAATTACTATCAGTGAGTTTCTTCAAAAAAACATATGGTCAAAAGTAGTTTTACTATTATCATTTTTTTTTCCAAAAAGGCATCAATTTTTTGGTACCTCTGCCTTGGTGCTTTCTTAAGTCCATATAAACTTTTTCTCAATTTGAAAATAAGATCTTCTTTTCCTTTGTCTCTGAAACCATCAGGTTGCTCCATATAAATTCCTCCTTTAAATCGTCGCGAAGAAAGGTTTTCTTTATAACAAGTTGTTCCACCTCTAAATTCAAACTAGCAGGTAATCCTACTACAACTCGGATTGCACTCATTTTCACCACTGAAAAAATTTCATCGAAATCTACACCCTTTGTCTGACTAAATCCCTTCACAACCAACCTAGCTTACTATTTTGGCTGCGAGCAATTCTCATCTGACTTCGGTCTGAATATCCATTGTTGAATCTTGCCAACAACCTCTTTATTAAAATTAGTCTAATCCTTATTAGACAACTCTGTCAGTTGGCCCTTATCACCCAAAAGTATATCTTCTAGGTTCAAACAACAAAGCAAGTCCTTCATGTGTTATTTCGAAACTGAGTAATTGCTTGATGTAAGTTTAATCATGGTATTGTAGTTATTAGTGGACTCCATTTGGCCAGCACAAGATAATCCCTAGAGCAACCTGGCTCTGATGCCACTTATCATAGAAAGCAAGCCAAAAATCCACTAGGCCACAGGTACACACAATGAAAATATTGAAAATAAAACAATGCCCAATTTTATGTGGAAAACCTCTAAAAAAGGCAAAAAATACTATATCTGTAGCCCACTTAAATATCTCCACTAATCAACTTAATTGGTACACAAAGTTCTTCTCTAAAACACTACTAGAGGAAATCAAAAATCAACCATCACCAAATTGATGGTAAACATCAATTTCATCAAAAGCAAAATATTTTGTAATCTCACTAAGTTCAAGAAAAATCAAATTTTCTTATCAAATCATGTTCATTCTACTACCCTCTGATCCTTCAATTCACTGCCCACTATGTCACGACTTGTTTCTGGGACTTTTCTATCAAGGAACGAGGAGGAAAGGATCGCTCAGTTTCCACAATGCTCAGAAGCCTTCGTGCATGGATCTTGCATACTATTTTCTATCCTTCACCCCGCTTGGTTCAAAAATGAATCCTATCTTTCGATTTATTATTATTATTATTTATTAACAATAATTGTGAAAAACCCATCCTTGAAATGCTAAGATATTAATCTCCCACTTTGTTGTCATAATTTTTTTAGCACACAACAAGCAATTGGGCACATCCAAATCATATCTCTAAGAAAAACTTAATTTTGTCTAACAAATTGTATGCTGATTTTAATATTCCATATCTAACAGCTAAAATCTATTTTTTTTACATTTATGCCACCCAAATATTTCATACCAAATAAAAAAATGTTAATATTTTTTTTACTTTTAAAAGAAAAGGATAAATATATGTTTTCATCAAATTTAATTTTTTTGTAAATACAGAGAAATTAGATGGCAGATGCGTAAATCTTCCAAGAAATTTATGTCTTTTCAGGCCATAAATGGGGTAGCTTATAAGTGAAAATATTCAGGAACTGTGTCAGGTTTAATGATTCTTAATTTACATAAAATAAAATAATTACAGTACCTTACATATCACTCAATTCCTAAGTACTTACATATATAACAACTAATTTTTACTTATAAGTGTGGTGGCATTTTTTAAAACGCCGCTTAACTATTTTGTTTGTGAATTTTTGAGAATGTTGCCAGCCACGTTTGAGTTTTTTTACACTAAACATAGGTCTCGGGTCGACCATTACAGTCGACCCACGGGTCGTGTTTCAGGATAAACAATTTATCCTGAAATGCACGAGCTGCCCCAAACAGATTACATAAATATCTTCTTGCATTTCTGTTCTTAATAGTTTAAAGAGTAGTATTTTTTATGTGATATGAAAATTTTGGGGATTATAAATGTACAGAATAAAATTTAGGTGTCAAATATGTAAATATATAGGAATTGGGTGGTATGTATGTAAATTAAAGAATAAAAATGTAAAAATATTCGGCAAATTATAAAAATTCAGTTATTTTTAAAAACACTGAAACTAATTTTAAACATACAAAATATTTTATTTTTTTAAATAAAAATATAAAAAATATATTAACCAAACTTAGTTTTAATATAAATTACAAATAATTAAATAGATTGAGGGAATGCTAAGAAAAATAAATAAATTGAAAGGTAAAGAAAGCATTTTTGGCATTTGTCGTAAATATAAAAAAAAATAATACTAAAAAAGTGGTGGATCAATTTAACATTTTGGTCCTTATCTCTCTATACAATTTGAGATACCATAAACAAATATAGAGAACATTTTGCATACGAACCAGAATTTTTTACGTTATTTACAGAACTAACCCTCAATCTTTAACATCACATCAAAAATATCACCATGACAATCTTTTTATATGTGAAATATACATTTTCAATATGATTGTTAAAAAAGCATGTTGTTCACAAACAAATTGTGTTTAGCTCGTGTTTGAATTGTTGGTTAAATAAACGAGTCGAGCATAAACAAATTTTTTGAACTTAGAATTATACATGAGTCAAATGCTAATAGCTCTTCCTTTAATCATGTTTGGTTCATTTTAACTCAAAATAAAGATATTATATATATATATATATATATATATATAATAATATGTTATGTAAATTTATATCTAAGTTTAAATCATAATAACTCGTGTGTTCATGAAATTTTGTGCCTTCTATTGATTAGAATTGGTGTAGGTTTAAATTCAATATTGTTATACAGTACATCTATTTTTTCAATGAATTTAAACAAGTCAATTACAAGCCAAACTCAAGCGAAACAAGAAGATGAATGTGTAAAATGAGCCAAACAAGAATATACTATTCACGAGCAATTTGAAAATGAGCCAATTTTGAATTAAATCGAACAAGAGCCAAGCCCGAGCTCATTGAATCTCAGCTCATTTACAGCCTTAATTTTCATGCATGATTATATTAAATTTATGACAGCAAGATGAACCCAGTAACTCTTTTGTTTCCTTCTCACTCCTTATTTCCCACCAATTGTCAGAGAATCAAAGCAGATACAAAGCACATTACAGCCATCTATAAAAATGAAAATAAAATTATTCCAAGTAAAAAATAAAAAGTTCAAAAATTACAGTACTATTTGCTTTTTTGGAACCTGTCATAAGTTCTAATTTTTTGTACTTTTTTTTAAAACTTTGATGTGAAGTAATATTTTTAAAAAAAATGAAAAATTCAATTTTAGCTTACAGTGGAGCAACTCAGCTGCTTTTGTTGTTGCGAGCCATCTGCCTCGCCATTTCTCGAAGCTCTTCTGGGGATGGAGGAGGAGGACCCTCAGGAGGATAAACAACATAAGGTTTCTGCGTAAACAACAGCAGAAACATTTGACATTGCTGATGGCTTCATTTTCAACACATATGTACATGTAAAGAACAATTTAACAATAACTCGCCAGAACAATCAACATATTTTGCATCTTAGGAGGAACCAATGCTGCAAACTATATGGTTCTTGTAAATTTAAGGGCAGAGCAGATCATCTCAAAGATATGATAATGAGAATGTCTTTTGTTTTTATAAAGTTCATATTGCGATAAGTGTTATAATCTATTGGAGATTAAGAGACAACCACTAATGAAAAAGCTGCCATAAACAAAAAATCAAAGCAAAAGAGTACAAATATGGTGGAGTGAATCATTAATTTAGTAAAAGAATGAAATTTAAGATATGGTTCAATTCCATAATGCTAAAAGAAATGATGATTGCAAATGAGTTTTCAAACCAAAAATAGAAAACTAAGGTGGAAATTAAACAAAAAAAACGAAACGAACACTTGGTTGTAAAGCACTACAGCCAAAAGGAAAATGTGAATTTCAAAGAAACTTTTTCAGCATTATTCAATATAGCATATTCATGCTTTATTGGACATAGTTAATGCACAAAAGTTAGAATTAAAGCAACTCGATGTAAGAAAGGAAAAAAAAAAACTCTCTATGGTGATTTGGATGAGGGAGTTATCATGAGTGGGGTGATTTGGTGAGCAGCAGGACAGAGTACCCAACGCCTATGTGTCGGCTTGTGGGCGCTTAAGCGCCCACTTGGGTGTTGCTCGAACAGAGAAGTCAACACCTATGTGTCGGCTTTGAGCGCATATGCACTCATATAGGTGTCTATTTCTCGAGGGCTTGACACATAGACGCCCAGTTCGGGCGCCTATAAACCAGGGGCGGTTGGTGTCAAGAATTAATTTTTAATCCCTATTTTGAGCGGCATAAGGTATGGCTTGGTGTACCTTCCTTCGGTATTCGTCAATGAGCGTCCCAATGAAGAAGAGGAGTGTCGAAGGGGTGGATTTCAGGGATTCGGGCGATTTTTTGCGTCATATCGAAGAGAAAAGATTGAGGAGTCCTACTAGTTTTCTTTGTGTGTGACGAGAAAACTTGTGTTAATTCTTTATAAAACATTCTGAATTTCATAATGAAAATTTCTGGTGGTGTGGCTTCGTGATTTTTTTCCCGTTCTCGAGTTTTTCCATGTAAATTCTCGTGTGCTTTTCTGTTTGCTTTGAATGTACTTCTGTTTCAATTTTTGTTCCAGTTTTTTATTGAATTGTGTGCTCTCGTTATTCTGTGGTATGATTTAGTTTCGAATTGTTTCTAAGCTCCGACAAACTTGAGAATTGTTTGTTGTGTGATTCCTATTAGAATTTCACATTCAAACACAACCTAAATTTGAAGTTTTATGGAAGAAAGATTGTGTCTCTATTGAAAAAAAATTTTTCTCGCTTAAAATGGTTTCCAAGAAGGTGCCATAAAAAAAATAATAGTTTATGATTAAACATTGATTTAGAAAAATGCTCATTTAATAGTTTTGTACGAGAAGCAACATATAAATGGTGTTTTCAGTATTTTCTTTTGTATGTTGATGGCATTGGTTATGGCTAGAGATAAATCAATCCAGAATCTAAAATTTAAATTAAGCAAAGCAAGTGAAACTAATGATAGTGGAGCTTCATAGAAGATATTTGGGATGGAGCATGAAATAAATATAACGGTAGAAATTTTATTCCTCATACAATGAAGATATAGTATGAAGAATTTTATTCCTCATACTATAGATCTACTATTCCTCAGACAGCATTATGTATGCTATAGTGAAAATTCCTATATATAAGTTTAATATTGACACAATTAATAGTAGATCTATAGGTTACGGCTTAGTAAAAAGAAATGTACTGAATGTCAAGACATCTCAAAAGCACTGCAAGCTATAATTTGATGAAAAAAAGGATCAATTTGATATATTTCTCTTAATTCTGATTATTAGTTACCTTAATATAAACAAATATCAAAACAGGTATAACTTCACTGTATCGGATTGTGCCACCAATTGAAAGCATCTTTTCAACATAATTTATTTTTCATATGAGAATTGACATGAGAAGCAACACGCCTTGACAAAATGCATCATGATTGTAAAAGTAGGGCATAACATACGGTGGACACAAAGATTTCTCTCATAAATTTTTAATATACAATTACACATTGAAAAACAACATCAAAATTATTTTAGGAAACCCAAAAATATGAAAGCCTAAAGTACATTAAAGAAAATGGAATCTTTACAATGATAAGATAAAGACCAAAATAACTAAAAGAAAGAACAATATATCTAAAATTAGTGTTAAGGAAGAAAAGTTAAGAAGCATCACAATAAAGATGAAGAGCATCGGGGACATGAGATATGGCCATGGAGTAACACTACAACAAGCTTGATGGTGAAAACTCAATAAAAAGGACGTGTGTAAAAAAGAAAAATGAGTGAGGGCTTGGCAACGTGGAGGAAAACTGGAAACAAAAAGGGTGGCATGCGAATTAGGACCAGCGTTGATATGCAAAGGTGAGAAAGATCTTGAACTCATCAAAAACAAATAGGAGTTGAAATAAGGTTACAATTTCTCCAAAATCAAACCATCATATTGCAGAATTAGGCCCAAAAATATTGAACGGGAAAAAAATGCTCAAGACATATCCATTGTGTGTCCTTTGCATGTCTAACAAGGTTTACGCAGCTGAAATAGATTGGGATGTGTTAAAGGTGTATCCTCATCTAACATGTGCCCGATTAGAATGCATAAACATTTTGGATTGTCAATTCCTCACATCTTTTCCGCTGAGTAAAGAGTATACACCAACTTAAGAAATTATAAAATTATTTGGTTAAAAGATTAAGTTGAAGGCCTAATTTTGAACCATGAAAATAAAGTGGTTTTCTATAATATTATAAGAACTCTTCGCCTAGCTTGAAATCAAAAGTCTCATGAGGAGAACCAAGAATATTAAGGTAAAGTACCACTTTATCAAATACAATATTCAAGATGATGAGAATTTAAGATAACATATTTGCACTAAGCACAATCCTACCAACACGCGAATAATGGTGATCCCACTTCACAAGCTTGGATGATGACTATAATTAGTTGATGATTGTAGCAATTGATGCACATCATGGTTTTTGGATATGTAGAAGCTCATAATAACTCCTGTTTCAACTTGAAAATCCACCATGCTTGTTGGATAGGATTGAGGTATTGATATACAGAGGGATTATTGTGATTCTATAAAAATGTAAGTGCATTTTTAGAATATTCTTCTAGGTCCCGGCTTGCATTTACACACTACATAAGCCACCCTCTTTATTTGCATGCTTGTAAAAAAAAGGAAGTTTAAGATGGAAAAGAAGACAAATGGGCATCTTCTCGTCCGTTTTTGTGAGCTCTTAGTGTTTATCCTCTCCCTCTTTATTTTATTCTATTGCACAAGAGAAAGCAATTGTCGATACGTTTGTTGAGTTTATTTGTTCAGACTTGTATTTCTCTTTTGACTAGTTTTCTCTAAGGAAACTTTTGCTCCATGATTTAGTGAGATCTACTCCTATAATCCTATTATATATTATCAGAAAGAGAATATGATATATGCATGTAAGCTCCCTAAGATTGATCCCGTTCAACATTTAATACTGGATCTGGAGTTCATCTCATTCCATGAATGTAGGCCAAAAGTTTCTTTTCCCTTTGAGTTGTTTTACCTGTTCTTATATTTTAGATTCGTTTTATGGTATAACTGCTAGAGTTTTATGCCCCTCTTTTTGCCACCAAGAGAGGTAGTTTAGGCCTTCTTTATAAAAATAATAAGATTTCAAGTACTGAAAGAAGGAAAAAAAAAAAACTTTCCCTAACTATGATCTCATATCTAAATTACAGATAAGGCATTGCTGCACGTAAATTATTCCAACAAGTTTCCTCAGCTTTCGCCTTGAATGAAACCAAACAAAGCGAAATGACAAAGATTCTTTCCAATTCCATTCGCCTTCACCTAGTATTTATTTCTTCTTCTTCCTTACACGCCATAGTATCCAATGCAGACAAGTTGTCCATTTATCAGGCCAATGGTGCATTACTACCGAGGAATCACAGGTAAATCATAAAGCATAACTATTCCAGCTGAAAAAAATAACCCTTTTATCAACAAACTGTTTTCCTACCGCGAACCGAACAAATATGGTTTGGGAATCATGAGGCCAGTGCGCGTAACTGAAGGGTGCATCTAAAAAGCTGAATACACCATCAAAAAAAAAAATTGGAGCTTAAGATAGTATTATTCAATAATAAAAACCTGATAAACTTTGCACATGCATAAGGAAATCAAACACCCCCATAATTTTCATACGAAAAGGACAGTAGAACTGTGCCCTAATCTATGGTAACACAAAAGAGAGATGATGATGCCGATCCCCTCTAATTATATACTTACCAATCGTAATCACAAAAGAAAAAAGAAGCCAACCAAAAAAATTGGAAAGAATAGCACAGAGAAAGAGAAAGAGGAATACGAATCCCATGAGCTTATGAAGAGTCCCGGAATCAGTGACGAATGCGTAGGTGAGGGCGACGGGAACAGTCACGTAAACCGCGAACTTGGCCATCTCCAGGATCCACTTCGCCGGCCCAATAGAAGACATGCCTTCTCCCTTCCCTCGCTCTCTGCTCGCCGCTTGCTCAGACAGCCTTCGTGGCGAATGGCGATCGTTTTAGAACCCAAATTCTTCTCCTTTACGGTTAAAAAAATTGCCTTTTTGCTTGCATTTGACGGTGTAACAAAGCTTTGGCTAATGGATATGTTATATAATTATGAAATGTCAATATATAATTAATAAAAATTTAAATTTTTTATTTTGTTTGTTGGATTACTATGAGCATAGTTCATTCTTTGTTTATTCATCGAATATTAAAAACTATTAAGAAAATTTGGCTTTAGAAAAGCTTTGTTAAGATAAAAGTTAGAAATATATATTTGTTATTTATTTTTTAGAAAATGAAGTAAGAAAATTTTGTGTTCGCATTCTCCCATTTTTTTGAAATTCATAAGAATGTTTGAGCAAATATATAAGTACATTTTCAACCAATAATCTACTCAACTTTTCTTCTTTCTAGATTTCCATCAACAATATATAAAATTTCAAGGCAAGGTTTTTGTTTATATTTAGGTTATTAATATTAGTGATGTTATATATTTGATTATATGAGTTTAAGAATGTCATTTGTGCACTAAATCATAAAATCAAGATGACATTAGTTCATACGTCGAAAAAGATCAGCTGACGAATTGTTGAATCATTCAACTAATGAATTGTTCAATTGTCAAACTGGCAATTGTTGAATTGTCTAGTTGTCGAATTGTTGAATTGTTCAGTTGTCAGTTGTCGAATTTGTTGAATTGTTCAGTTGTCGAATTGTTGAATTGTTGAACTGTCCAACTACATAATTGATGAATTGCTTAATTGTCTACGTACCAAGTTGTGGAACCGTCTGGTTGCCGAAACTTTGAATTGTCCAGCCTTGTTAGCTAGTCACTTAATCATCTAACTACCGAAGTGGTTGAATTGCCTACTTAGAAAACTGACAAACAATCTAACGTCGAACCAGTTGAACGCCTAATTGGAGAATTGCCAAACCATCTAACTGTCGAAGTGGTTGAACTGTATAATTACATAACTTGTACAATTATTAAGGTCCTTTTTGGAATCACTTTCTGTTTTTTTATTTTTGTTTTTGTTTCAGTGATGATTAGGTTAATTTAAGGTTTTAGGACATACCTCCCAAAAATATATTTTCGAAATAGGGAAAACACAATTTTTGTGTTTTTGATTCTTTGAAAACATGCTTCATGTGTTCTAAAAATAAAATAAAATAAATAAAAAAATGAATAAAACATACTATTTTTTGTTTTTTTTTATTTTAAAATTTTTAAAGACAAAAACATAAAATAGAAAGTGATCTCAAACATGACATAAACTAACAAATTGTCAAGTTCAACTATATTGTGGGACATGACATAAAGTTGTGGGACATAACATAAAGCCGCGAGACATGACATAAAATTATTTGACGTGAGATTAAGCTGCTCGAAATGACATAAAGCTTTTGAATATGTATTATCATTGTGTATTTATTTAATTTTTATACCATAATAAAAGGAAATCTCAAAACTTATAAATGAGAAAAAAATGAAAAATGGGAGCTCAAGAGGCAAGACTCTCTATTCTCATGGGTTGCACCTCCCGACTTCTTTCTCCCTCTCCTATTCAATGCAAGTAGGAGTTAGGTATAAACCATGGATATTATAAGACATAACATCCTAAAGGGTTTCAACATCTTGAAAAGTGTGATAAGCACAGACATATGCCTAAAATATAAAAACGCACATGAACATCAACATAGAGACAACAACGATCTCACTAGAGGAATCTCCACTCATGAGATAAGATATTTTATTTTTAAATCTTTCATTTTTACATCCTTTAAACTCTATGTACATATAAAAATATGTCAGCACGAGTTTCGACGCAGTTGAACGAGTTAGGAGGATGATACTGTTGGTCGGGCATATCTGTTGATGACCGTCTTGAGTTGAATGTTTTCAAGGGAGGCGTCATGCTCTAGTGATCGAAGGAACGTGCCAGGAGATTTTTCATAGGGTGGGGATCAGCTCTCAAGACGATCGATTAGGGGCTCTCTTTCGGATTAGAAATAGATTAAGTAAAGGCTCACCTGATGGTCAACAAATCATTATCGATCGAATCGGTCCTCCAATCTAATTATATGCTAATAACTATCTAATTACCAAAAAGTCCATATGAAAAGTTAATAATGAGGGGATCACTATGTATTTTTATAATACTGGGACATATGCTTATATGAAAAAGGGGTAAATATCATAAATAAAGACTTACATTCTCTTTCATTGTTCTCTATTGTGCTCTCTCTCTCTCTCTATCTCTCTAATCACTTCCTAGCATAAAGTTGTATTTCTTGAGTGTGCGTTCTAGACACTTTTGGATTCAACACTCTACTATCTTAAGTTGTTCAATATAATTTTTCATTTGTGCTTTCATTTTTTAAATCGAGGAACTTGTTCCTCGTAAGCAATTTTCATAAGAGAAAAACAAATTTCCAAACTCTTAGATCATACTCGGCTTAATAGCTCGTTGCTAGGGATGCTTTGGAAAAACTCTTTTCAAAATATAACTTGGTTGAATAACGAATGAGTTCAGTTGATCTTGGGATTAAGGACCACGAAATTTCACCTTCGAGTTTAACGAAATTATTTTAATTATTTTATAAATGAGTTATATTATAAAAAAAATACTACATCTTTTGCATTAAAAAGAGAACTTAATTTTTTCCTTACTAATAATTATAAGAGAACTCTCCTTATAAGACAGTTGAGAAACTCTAAATTATCTGAATATGAGTAGTAATGCTCCTGGGATGAGATCCTGCAAATGTAGCCAAAATGCCCCCAGAAGGATTCTATGTAGGGGTGATAACCCCACGATAGATGAATAGTCAGTACATAGTGAAATACAACACTTATTTTTATCAAGATGGCTTTAACTCGTACCAATGAATTCATTTTTCAAATAAATGAAGTGTACGTGTGTCTTATAAAGATGAGCAATGTGTAGCTTCATATTTTTTTCGTAGTTGTCAGTTGAAGAAATACGAGAATCAGGGAACTAAATTTATACATCTAAAAAAGCCGTCCGAGCTACTAAGTTGTTGAATTGTTGAATTGCCCAACTAGCAGATTGTTGAATTGCTCAGTTGTCAACTTGTTGAATTTCCTATTTGTCAAATTGTTGAATTGTCCAATTGCCTAGTTACCTAGTTGTTGAATTGCACTACTGTTGAATTGTTGAATTACCCAGCTGCCTATTTAATAAGTTACAAAACTGACCAGTTGTTGAATTGTTAAATTTCCCAATTGCCTAATTACCGGGTTGTTGAATTGTTTAACTGTCAAAGTGGTTGAACTACCTAACTGAAGAACTTATGAACTTCCTAATTGTCGAAGTGGTGGAACTTTCTAACTTTGATAACATGTCAAACTATCAAACTGCTGAACTGTATAAAACCGCATAACATGATAAAAAGTTATCGTACATGACATAAAGATGATGGACATGGCATAAAAAAAGCTAAAATGATATAAAGTTGTTGGATATGACTTAACATTATGTTCATTTATATAATTTCTTCTATCATGATAAAAATATATCCCAAAACTTATAAATAGAAAAAAAAAAGTAAAACTGTGGGCACTGAAGGCTGAGCTCTCTTTTCCCACGAGCTGCTTCTCCTCTCTCGTTATTTATTTCACTTATACTCAATGCTAGATTGCTAGTAGGATTTGTGCATAACCCACATATATTACAGGACACTAGGTCCTAAAAAGTTTTAACAATTAGACATTACATTTCCTATTTTGAATGTTAATCCAAGCTTGTCTAAACTAATGTTCGATTGAGTTTGAGATAAAGTTCAAATAAAATTTAAAATAAATAAATAGGGTTATTCTCTTGTTATTATCTATTTTGGAATTGAATTGGTTAAGTTATTGTGTTATGCATGCCAATATTTGCTCTAATTTGTAAGATATACATATAAAACTAGGAGTATAATAGAGTAAATTATTAGTTAAATTGAGGCTACTGTCCTCAATGTGTTTAACATTAAGGAAAATAATAACATGTTTAATATAGTTAAAATATATTGTCAATGCATGCCTAATATATTGCAACAGATTAATACAAAAAATGAACTCATTTAAAATATAGAGCTTTTTATCACAAACAGACCAACTCACTATTATATCTTATCCAATGATAATAGTTTCAATCATACTAATCGTCATGAACTTATACATTTACTCTCTCATGTTTAAATTTTGCTAATTTATAACGTGTTTAACTCTATTGGAAAACTAGTTTAGATGCCATTCTAAATTTGACATTCCTAGTGATAAAAATATTAAATGTCAAACAAATTATCACTGCTCTAATATCCATTAAAAGCCACACCTAATTAGATACAAATACATAAGTACCATGCCATAGCTACCGTGATAACTCTATTTCATACTTATTGGAGTTCAATGTTGCATCTAACTCATAATTTATCGTATCATAACACTTATAATTACATCTTGTCATATCAACTATTCTTGATCAAAATTGGATCTGAAGAACATAGCAAAGTTTACACACATATCACACAATTCTTAATGTATTTATGTATCTAACACCGAAAGTTTGATATTTACATTTACCATACTTTGATGTCATAAACTTATGCATGAAAGAATGTATATCTCTTTTAAGAACATATTATATGTGATGTCAAAGATTTAAATCGTATGCATGTAAATATGAATGTTTACCTATTAGACATATAAATACATAAAAATGATGTGGTATGCATGATTATAAATGCCCTGAAAAAACTTAATGTATACTACAAAAAATCGGCCAAGTTCAATCCCTCCCCCTCATAACTCCACAAGGGCGGAACCAGACAATAAAGAATTATCCAGCTTGCAAGCGCATGGAAGCCTTTAATACCATCATAGAGGGCTGATGAGAGCATTTATTAGCCTCTGAGAGTGCACTCAATAGGGCACCATACCACTGAAATGCAAAACTTCAGAGACTTTTGCGCCCATTCAGCAGTAAATATTATTTAGCATATACAGCAACTCACACACACACACACACACACACACACATGCAAAGCTATTGTTTATATGGCATATGGAGGAGCCTAATTGTCATTTGACCGTTCATTAAATTTAAAGTGGCAATTAAGGTTTGTGCATTTATTTAGCAAAGCTGCTTTCGAACTTATCATCGCTCTTGTTGTCGTTTATTAGTTCTGTAGAGCTGTAGGCTCTACGAAGTATGTACGGATAGATCTATGACACGTCTGATTATTGACACATGTACAACATATTTTTAGAACCATGGATCATGCTACATAAAGTGTAGTATAAATGAGGCTTTAAAAATACACTTCACAACATATTTCCGTTTTTTTTTTTATTTTCTCCCAAATAATCCCTCTCAACCAACCTTCGCGGCTCATCAAAACCTAACACGGCTGATCGGACAAAGTTATAAATAATGTTTGCAAATATAACACAAATATATTGACAAAAATTGTTCTAGAAATCAACATTACCAAAATATTAAAGTGCATTTAATTACATACCACCCAATTTCAATATATTTACACATCTAACACCTGAATTTTATCTTTTTACATTTATACCACCCAAATATTTTATATCACATCAAAACACTAATTTTCTTACATTAAAAAGTGAAACATATATTTCATCCATTAAAAATGTATTATGTACGTAAAAATTAAAATATATGTGATGATATATATGCAAATATTTTTTAGATAATTACATACATAACACTTAAAATATTAAAAATCATAATTTAATCACTCAAATCATTGCTTTTAACTACAAAATTTATATATTTACACCCGCCACTATCAAACTAATAATATTTATGATGATTATTTTATAAATAGCAATGTTTTGGGGGTGTATTATATATAAACACCTAAAAAAATTAAATTATTTATTTATAAGGAACGTTTGAACTTTGAACAGCCATCTCCGACCGAACAGATTTAATGCACTTTAATGACCCACCGACTAAGCCATCACTCAACTCCACACCTCATAATTGCATAAATACCACCCACGTACTTAGCCTCCTCCACATCAATCCCCCCATCTCATTCTAACGGCAAGATGACGGCGGGCGGGAAGCGTGTGACGGCGTACGCGAAATCGACGGTGGTTTCGACGACGCCGGTCCGGCCGGGGAAGACGTACCCGTTGTCGGTCTTAGACCACGCGATGGAGCGGCATTCGCTGCACATAGTGTTCTATTACCGGTCCGGTTCGAGATTGGACCGGGCGATGTTGAAGGAGTCGATGTCGGAGCTGCTGTGGTATTTTCCGGTGACCGCCGGTAGGATGAACCGGGAAGAAGGAGGGAAGGAATGGGTGGTGAAGTGTAACGATGCCGGAGTGAGGGTGGTGGATGCGAGGGCGGATGCGACGTTGGATGAATGGATTGCGACGGCCACGGCGGCGGAGGAGAGGGAGCTGGTCCACTGGGAGCCCATGGGGAATGAGCCCTATATCTGGTCTCCTTTCTATGTTCAGGTAAGAATATTAGGGGTGTTTGTATTTACATATATACCACTCAATTCCTATGTAATTACATGTCTACCACCTAAACTTGAATTTTTACATGCACGCCATCTAAACTAAAAATTAAGATGATTTACAAGAATTGGGTGGTATTAATGCAAAAAGTGAACGTAAATACATAAGAATTGAGTGGCATGTATGTAAAGCCTCCTCTTTTATATACATGCCGCTTACATTTTTATGATCATATAAAAATATTATTATTATTAATTAAAAAAATGAAATATACTTCTTCATTATCTATTTTATCATAAAGATAAAAAGTCAACGGCTTTTTTGTGTCCATGATATGAAATTGACGTTAACCAGTACTTGGTAAAATCTATAAATTTTGATTGAGTAAATTTTACATATTATTTGGTAATAATAAGTGATCAAATCATTAAAAGAAGTGAAAATTTTAAATATTTCATATTTATTATTCAAAGTGATGGTCATATAAATGAGGATGTTATTAATATAATTTAGTTTGGATAGTTGAAGTGGAGGAATGTCATCGGGCTTAATATTTGAAAGGAAACTATCACCTAAAAGAAAATTTTATAAGGTGGTGAGACCTATAATATTTTATGACATTGAATATTGGTCTGTAAAAGAGATGCATAAAACTAAATTATGTGTTGTTGAGATGAGCATGATTAGGTGGGTGAGTGACTTTACACTTAAGAGATAAAATGAGAAACAAATATATTCGTCCAAGGGTTTTAGTTAGTTTGGTCATATTAAACTATTTAGGTGATCAAATATTTTAGATTTAACTTATGTTAATAAATATATAAATAGATCTAAAAAGGCCTAGAGAACTTGCATAAAAAATGATCTTAATCAATTAAAATTAAATAAAAATATGACACTCAATAAGACATCATGGAGATAAATGATTCATGTAGTTGACTCCATTTAGTGAGATAAAAACTTCTTGGTGTTGTAAAGATGATTACATATCAATAATGTGGGTGCGGATTGGGTGTACTTGAGTATATATTAGATTTATTTAAGCTATATTTTATGTGCACTCACTAGCACACCAAAAATGCATCCTACATATACTCATCCAAAGCCCGAGCATAATAAATTTTCAAGAGAAAAATTTTCCCCATCAAACACAAAAGAGGAGAAAAAATATTACATGAGGACTCCTGATGCATTCAGAGTACAATTGTAGGACGTCAAGTGTCAAGTGGGCTTCATATTTTTTAACGCTGACCAATACTATTGTATTGTGATGAGACTCACTTAACACATGATGTCCCAACATTGGACTCGTAAAGCAAATTAGGTCAGCGTCCCAAAGAGGAACGCATATCACCCTTCTCAAATCCTTCATCGCCTCCTCTGTTTTTCTAAACTTACTTCAATTTAATGGCAGATAACAGAGTTCAAGGACAAAGGATACTCCATCGGCCTCAGCTGCACTCACATCCACTCCGATCCCACCTGCGCCACTCTTCTCATCAAAGCGTGGTCCGACTGCCACCGCCGCGCCTCCATATCCAACCCCCCCTTCTTCCACCCAC